CAATGGAAAAACACATCAGTATAACATAAGGTCTGGGTAGGAGAGGGGCCTTAGGCGATCACAATCTTCCTGTCCAGATGTGCCCCACAAAACCAACTCTACCTCCTTTCCATCCACTTCAGTATCAGACACATAGTTCTCAAACACTGTGGACACATGCACCTCAGAGAACTGACCCTTGCTGAAGACTTTAAGCAAGCAAGTCTTGCCACAAGCTCCATCACCACCAATCATGTTTCTTTCTGATGGCTCTTGTCACGATGGCAGAAGCTCTGCAAAGTACCTTGAACTTGTTAGATAAAAGGTACTCTGGTGGTAACTCTGAGCCTGGCCTCTGTGCCAAAGACTGCTCTGACAAGCTTCAAAGTGATGGCTGGTTGCTGAGGAGATGGCTGTGGACTAAGGAGAAAAGCCTGAAGGAGTATGGTGGGTGTCAGGCAGAGAGCTCCTCAGAAGTTGAATATTATCAGTCAAAACCTGTCCAGGTGCCAACTGTGGAAAGTTCATCAATTATTTATGTGCAAGTTCCAGTTGAGGCTGAAGAAAATAAGTCTGCGAGAAACAGAATATGATTGATTATTACATTTATCCCACCCGAACTTAAGAATAGGTTTGAAGCATTGAAGACCATATGAGTTGTGGGATGACACAGAGGATATCATCCATGAAGAAAGCAAAAGGTGGTGTCCCAAAAAGAGTAGAGGAAAACCCAAAATAAATGTCAGAAGAGACTTTGAAAATTGCTCACAAAGAGAAGAGATGTTGAAGTAAAAACTGAACACAAGATTTCAAAGATAGCTTGGAAAGACAAACTTAATGGAATGCATAGAAAGTGGCAGTCAGAGAATAAAAAGGGAAGAACTGGATTGGCATTTCTGAGGCTGAAAGAACTGAAAAATAAATTCAGGCTTCAAGTTGCTATGGGCAAAATCTTGAATGATCCAGGAAGCATCAAAAGAACCCTGTACCAAAAAGAACAGGACAACTCTGAAATATTTCACAACATAGCATATGAGCTAGAGTCAATGGGGAAAAAAGCAAGAGGCTTAAGCTGCATTAAAGGTATTGGCAAAAAAATAAGGCCCCAGGAATTGATGGGGTACCAACTGACATAGTTAAGATGACACATGCAGCCGTGGACATGCTCACTAGTCTATGCCAGAAAACTGGAGGACATCTGCCAGCCCAACCAACTGGAAGAAATCCATATTTGTTCCCATTCCCAAAAAAGAACCAACAAAATGTGGAAATTACCAAACAATATCATTAATATCACATGCAAGCAAAATACTGCTGAAGATAATTTTAAAATGGCTAGAACAGTACAGAAAGAAATGTCAGAAGCTCAAGATGGATTTAGAAGAGGTCTTGGAACCAGAGATAGCATTGCTGATGTCAGATGAATCCTGGCTGAAAGTAAAAAGTACCAGAAAAATGTCTATTTATGCATTATTTACTATGCAAAGACATGTGACCGTGTGGATCATGGCAAGTTATGGCTAACATTAAGAAGAATAGGAATCCTAGGACACTTAATTGTGTTCATATGAAACCTATACCTAGACCAAGAAGTTGTTGTGAGAACAGAACAAACTAAGACTACATAGTTTAAAATCAAGAAAGGCATGCATTGGGGTTGTATCTTTCCTCCATACCTATTCAATCTGTATGCTGAGCAAATTATTTGAGAAGCTGGACTTTATGAAGAAGAATGCTGCATCAGGACTGGAGAAAGATAACAATAACTTCTGCTATGCATATGATTCAATCTTGCTTGCTGAAAGTGAAGAGGTCTTGAAATACTTGCTGCAGAAGATTAAAGACTGCAACCTTAAATATGGATTGCATCTCAACATCAAGAAAACAAAAATTCTCACCACTCAACTGATAAGTGACATCATGATGGATGGAGAGTGATTGCAACTGTGAATGACATCTTACTTGGATCCACAATCAATACACTTGGTACCAACAGTCAGAAAATCAGAAGTCATATTGTACTGGGAAAGTCTGCAGTCAGGGAGCGCTCCAAATTATTGAGGAGCAATGATGTTTGTTTAAGGACTAAGGTGTGCCTGATTTCAAATCATAGTCTTCTCAGTCAGTTGTTATGCGTCTGAGAGCTGGACAATGAATAAGGATGCCTTTGAAATGTCTTGAAGGAGAGTACTAAATCTCCTATAGACAGACTTCTAGATAGGTCTTGGAGAAGGTGCAGCCAGAGTGCTCCTTAGAGGCAAGGATGTCAAAGCTTCCTCTCACATAATCTGAACATGTTGCTAGGAGAGGCTACTCATTGGAGAAGGACATCATGCTTGGAAAAGTGGTGGGACAGCGAAGGGGAGGAAGACTCTCAACCAGGTGGACTGACATAGTGATTGCAGCAATGGGCTAAAGTGTGTCAGAGATTGTGAGGTTGGCACAGGATAATAAGAGTTTAGATCTTTTGTTCATATTGTTGCAGTCTACTAGATGGCACTTAGAAACAATAAAATAGCACAGAAGGAGATTACTTTTCTTGCTCCCTAGGAACTACTGGTGGATTTGAACAAATTTGTAGTTATTTACTTTTGTTTTTAAGGTTAGTTTTATACTTAGCCTCATATTTGTAAGCAGGGTAGAAATGGTTAAAATATATTAGAGAATGTAACAGATTGAACTGTTTCTCCAGAGAAGGGGTCAGCTTCGCTAGGTCTTCATTCTCAGTGGTCTGGCAGTTACATAATGATGACATACTATGCTGTAGATCCTATACAGCGTATAGATCCTATAGGGTGTATCTTAAATTCAGTGGTTAAAGTGTTCCACTGATAATGGAAAGATTAATGGTTCAAATCTACCAGCTTCTCCACAGGAGAGAGATATGGCAGTTGGCTTTTGTAAAGATTTACAGACTTGGAAAACCAATCTCACTCTGTCCTACAGGGTTTTTTTAGTTGGAGCCAACTTGACTATAGGCTTTAGTTTGGTATTTTCAGTCTAATGCTTTAAATACTTACCACCACCTTTCACCATTTTACTGAAATCACACCCTTAATGAGACATATCTTTAATCTTTTGAGGGATAAAGAGATGTGAACAGAGAGAAAGGGACCTATCCTCAAAAAGAGCCTGAGATGGAACCTGTCCTTTTTAAACTGGGTCTCTGTGCAAGATTGATTCCAGGACACATGGAAGTGTAGATCGCCAAGGAATGCCAGTTCCATAGGTGGTGTAATGAGAGGCAACAGAGAGAAAACTTTTCCCTACAGCCAGCTCCCTTAATTTAGACTTTTGCGCTCCTAAATTGTAAATTTCTGCTTCTCAGAGCCATTTGTGATTATTTCTGTTATAGTGACACTATATCACTAAGAACAAAAGTGAGTAATTTGAAGAGCAAGGAAGAATTTTTACATGAAAGAGAAAATGAGCTAAAGCTTTAGAGATGTTAAATCTGCTGATACTATACCAGGTAATAGATGCTAGTGTATAACTGAACTGGAACAGGCATGAAGATGGAATTTTAAGAGGACTTTAAATAAGTTCCCCTGGCCAAAATAATTGTTTTATTTTTCATATACAAATACTTGGATGAAGACTTTTGTGTTAAAAAATCCATGACTTAGAGGAGTGCCAACTAGTTTGACATTAAAGTCACGTAATAATAATTACAATCATGATTTATTTGGACAATAGGGAACATTGGAGAAGTTTGAGATCGTTTGCAAAACCAAACCATAAAACACTAATAACAAAATATTCCTCACGTTTGTCAAAACGGAAGGTTGCTACTGCTTTGTTCTCCTTAAAGCCTTCTCATGTAACTTTTTCTACAGTTATACATATGTATAAGAAGCCATGGTATCACAGAAGTTGAAGTGTTTGTTCCAACCCACCAGTCTCGAAGGGAGAAAATGTGACCACTTCGCTATGAAATTAGATTTTAAATCAATGGGGCAATTCTACTTCATATGGGATCCACTGGATGACAAAGGGGGTTTGGTTTGTTGTTTTGTTTTTTTTTTTAGGACTCTAAAGGATGAGCAATCTCCCCCCGTACCATTCAGGTCAGCTATGGATCCGTTGCGATTCTACGGTACACAGTAACAGCAACAAAAGGGAATTTAGGCTGGTCAGTCATAACATCCTTGGTAGGAAGGAACAGGTTAGGTGCCATCTCGTCTTCTAGGACTCCTAACAATCCTATGAAAACCATATCTGAACCTTACCCTATCATGCACCATCCTCACGATCTTTTTCATGCTTTAAGCCATTATGATAGTCACAGAGTCAATTCACCTCGTTAAGGTTCTCCCTGTTGTTGAGTCTCTCCGTTTCCAGCATGATGTCTCTCTTCCAGCACTGACTGGATTCTCCTGAAAATAAGCCCATAAGTAAGTGAGATCAAGTTTCATCACCCTTTCCTCTAAGGAGCACTCTAGCTGCACTTCCTTCACAACAGACTTGTTTGTTCTTTTGGCACTGCATGAAATATTACATACTCTTCAGTCTTCTTTAATCTTTGTTAGGCAACACTAGCAGTACCTTTTACTATTGCATCTTCAGCAACTACATCTTATCATAAGCCTTTGAAGCATACCAGACAGTCCTTATTTTACAAGTATCGGGCAGAAGGCTCCAATAGGTTGACAGCCCCAAATGAAGCTGTTGAAATCCCGATGCCCAGGCTCAAGCACAGGTAGGAACCATTACGTCACGAGAGGTGCCAGGCTGTGGCTCAGCCTATGTGTGGGCTGGACCGGAAGCTGAGGCCGAAGACCACGCCCCTGCCCTTGGCCCCGCCCCTAGTTTGAGCCCGCCGCAGTGACGCCTCTCAGGACGCAGTGCGCCGTTGACTAGGCTTCCGTGAGAGGCGGGCAGAGGGCGCTGGTTCGCCCCGCCCCCAGGCCCGGCTGGCCCACCCCCGTGGCGTGGCCGGGCGTGGCACAAGGAGGGCGCTGGTGGTGAGTTACAGATCCCAACACCCGGGCTTGGTTAGCAACTGGGCGGGGAAGTGGAGGATGGATGTGGGTTTATCGGCCATTACATTCTATCTCGACAACGGCAGCAGCCCTGCGGTGGCGAAGACCATGGACCGAGAGCCAGTGAGCGCTGTCCAAGGAGGGGAAGCAGAGGCAGTCTCAGGGGCGGTGGCTGCTGCGGCGTTCAGGGACTCTACGCGTCAGGTAGGTGGAGCCGCCAGGGGAGGCGGTGGCTCCGAACTGGTGCTGGAGCTGCCAAGTTACTTCCGTGGCCATACACTGCTCTGCTGTCCTGCCGGGCCTTCAACGAAACAGATAGCCCGATGGAAGTACCTTTCAGGGTGCCTCTTCGCAACACTGCAAACTCGCTACCTCTCAGAGAAACTGGAGAGGGACTCATGCCGTCTCTCAGCCCAGGCGTCCCTTCCCAACCCCTTAACTGGCTGCTCGCATATGGGGCTAAGGCCTCGGGTTTCCAGGGATTGATATTCCCATTCAGGTCTGCTTGCGAAAGGAGAAAGGAGTGTCCCCACAAGGCTATGCATAGAGGAACAGGAAGCCAGGTGAAGGCGGTCACTACACAGTCTTTGCGCGTCGCCTGACTTGGCACTTGCCCTTTGATTAGCTAAAGCTCTTACGAGCTAAGTGTTGACAACCCTCATAACTACTCCTAGAGAGGAGTGGTGATGGTATCCCTGTTCCACCAAGGAGGTAGTCAGGGTTAAGAAATTAAATACTACGCATGCCACGTGTGTGGTGTATACGTTTCTAGTAACTGCATTTTAAAGGATTTTGTAAAGGTGTAATTAATATTATGTTTTTATGTAACCCCAAGTCTCTGAAATCCCTTGTATATTTTACAGTTGAAACTCATCACAGTTTACACTAGCCATATTTCAGGTGTGTGATAGATATATGTGGCTGGTTTCTATATGGGACAGTGCAATAGGTGCAGAGTATTAGGTAAAGTTTGGAGGGTTTTGCCTGGCATTTGGTAGTCTATATTAGTAGTTAAGGATCTCTGGTCCACTTAAAGTAGCAAGTGCTTTAGCTGAAACCACCTAGATAGATGTGATTTTTGCAGTTAAAAACTGGAGGCAAGGATTCTGAGGCTCCAACATACTTTGGACAAGTAAGGAGGGACAGGTCCTTGGAGAGGAACATCATGCTTGGTAGGGTGGAGGGACAGCACAGGAGGGGAAGGCCCTCTATGAGGTGGTGGATTGATCAGTGACTGGAGTAATCAGGATGGGTGTATCGGAGACAGTGCGATTGGCACAGGACACAACAATGATTAGGTTGGCACAGGATAGAACTGCGTTTAGGGCTCATGTACATAGGGTCGCTATGAGTCGCAAGCGACTCGATGGCACACAACAACAACCACCTTCATTTAAAATAAAGTTCCATTTTTGAGATTTAAGTACTAGGTTATTACTTAAACATTTATCCTGAACTACAGAATGATTCCTTATTCTTCTAGTACTAGGAGTACAAGTGGCTGGTTTTACAGAATATACATTTATTTTCTTATGTTTCTAGAGGCTAGAAGTTAAAATCAGATTCTTTTCCTTGTGGTAAACTCAAGATTGCTTTTTTTTTATAGATAAACTTTATGTCTTCCCTCTGTGTAGATCTCCTTATTCTGCTTTTTTGTTTGGGTGGGTGGGTGGTTTTTTTTTTTTTTTCTGTTACATTATTTTTATTTGGTTTTAGGGGTTTGGTTTTGTTTTGTTTTACGGCATATTCTTCCTATTTAATTTTTTCCATTCATTCATTGTTGCACATTTTCCTCCCTGCCCATTCCTCCCCCCATTTCACTTTTCTCTTTGAAAAGAAAAAAAAAACTTTCATTGTTATACAATTCCTTACCCCCACCCCCCACCCCCAAGGCCACAATCCACTTTACTATGCATTTCTTTTTCTGGAATCTTGTCATGAAAATAATACCTAATCATATATTCCTTTTAAACAGTTCTCTCCTTCATCTGATTCAATGCAGTATATATTATTTATCCCCTCTCTTCTTAGGTTCCCCCTAACCCCGATGTCAGTCCCGTTTTACAACAGTGGCACTATGCAATATTTGTCCTTTTGTGACAGATATTTCAGTCAGCATAATGTCCTCCAGGTTCACCCATTTTGTATAATAGTTCATGAGTTCCATGTTTTTCAATGCAGCATAATATTCCATTGTGTGAATATACCACAGCTTCTCTAACCATTCATTTGTTGATGGGCACTTAGGTTGTTTCCAACTCTTTGCTATTGTGAACAAAGCAGCAATAAACATGGGTTTGCATTATTCTGGTATTTTTATGACACAGAAATGAGTAGATTAAGAAACCACCCTGCACTGGCTGGCTGACTTGAAAAGATCCATATTTGTATCCACTCCTAAGAAAAGTGATCCAACTGAATGTGAAAATTACAGAGGGACATAAGCATAAGAGATGAAAACCCTGGATGAGATGGATTAACTCGGTGACTGGGCTAATGTGGGTAGCTGAGTCAGAGACAATGACTATTTTGGCTCAAAATAGAGCAGGGTTCAGAACTGTTGCACCTAAGGTGGCTATGAGTTTCAAGCAACTTGACAGCACACAACAACAACATCATTAATATCACATGCAAGCAAAATAATGCTGAAGATCATCTAAAAACAGCTAGCAAAATACATTGACAGAAAATTGCCAAAAGTTCAGGGTGGGAGATGATGGCACCAGGAATATCATTCTTGATGTTGGATGGATCCTGGCTGAAGGCCAGAGAATACCAGAAGAATGTCTGTCTGTATTTTATTGACTATGCAATGGCATAGTAATTTAGTCATCCACACATAGACTAAGTGAATCATAACAAATTATGGCTAACATTGAGAAGAATGGGAATCCCAGAACACTTAATGTACTCACTAGAAACCTATACCTAGGCCAAGAGGCTGTGATCCTAACAGAGCAAGGGAATTCTACATGGTTTAAAATCAAGAAAGTTGTGTGTCAGAGTTGTAACCTCTCTTAATACTATTCAGTCTGTATGGTGAGCAAATTATTTGAGAAGCCAAGACTCTTATGAAGGAGAATGTGGGTGGCATTAGGATCAGAAGAAAACTCATCAACAGCCTATGTTATTCAGATGACACAACCTTGCTTGCTGCAAGTGAAATGTGTGCTTGTAGAAGATCAAAGACTACAGCCTTTAATATGGATTACATCTCAACAGCAAGAAAACAAAAATTCTCACCATTGAGCCAATAGGGAACATCATGATAGGTAGGAGAAATGATTGAAATTGTCACTGACTTTATCTTACTTGGATCCATAATCAGTATCATTGGTACCAGCAGTCAAGACATCAGGAGATGTATTGCGCTGGGAAAGTCTGAAATTAGGGACCTCTTTAAATTATTAAAGAGCATTTACGTCAGGTTGGAGATTATGGTGTACCTGATTCAGGCCATGGTCTTTTCAGTCAGTATACATCTGAGAGCTGGCCAGAGAAAAAGGATGACAAAAGAAGTGATACCTTTTGAGCTGTGCTGTTAGTTAAGAGTACTGAATATCCCCGGACTGCCAAAAGAACAAACAGATATGTCTTGGAGAGAGTACATGCGTGCTTCTTGGATGCAAAAATGATAAAGCTTCTTCTTTCATACTCTAGGCATGTTGTGAGAATACCTTGCCTAGAAAAGTGGAGGGTCCGTGAAAGAGAGGAAGACCCTCAACCAGATGGATTGACACAATGACTACTGCAGTGGGTTCGAGTATGTCAGAAATTATGAGGATAGCACAAGATAGGATAAGGTTCAGATCTTTTGTTCATAGAGTTGTTATGAGTCATACTTGGGTTTTTTTAAATAATATTTAGCTTTTTTTTTCATTGTTGAGCATTTTCTTCCCCACCCCCAACCTACCTCACAATGCACCGTTTATTCCAGATTGTTGTCACACATATAATACCTAATCATATATTCTTTCCTTTCAGACAGTTCTTCCCCTCATTTGTTCTAACGCAGTGTTCATTATCCACTCTTACTATTCTCTCTCCCACTCTCCCTTCTCATGTCTAACTTATTTTGTGCCAGTGATGTTATGCAGTGTTTGTTTTTTTGTGACTGAGATATTTCACTCAGCATTATGTCTTCCAAGCTCCACCATGTTGTGTAATGTTTTACAAACTAATTGTTTTTCATGCTGTGTAATGCTCCATTGTGTAAAGGTACTACAGTTTTCCCATCCATTCATTGGTTGATGGACACTTGGTTGCTTCAGTCTCTCTGCTATTGTGAGTAATATAGCAATAAACATAGATGTGATTACTATGAGTCATAATTGTTTGGAAGGCACCTAGTAACAACAACTACTCTAGTAATAATCATGAACATAACAAAAGAAAATCCTGTTTCTAAACAGGATCACATTCACTGTTAAGAGAACAAGTAACTGAACACATTATGAGGGGATGTAATGCAGTCTATAAGAACTCCATTATGTGAATATGACTCTTATCCTAGTCTTATCACTATGTTGTTGACAAAGACTACTTCCAATGAATAAGTCATTGGTTTTGCAAATTCTGTCATTCAATGTACAGCACTGTTTTTGTCACAATGGCAGTATTTTTCAACTACTGCATCTTTTCCCAACTTTTGTATTCTAATCACCAACAATTCATGTATTTTGATTACATGTGTGATCAATTTCACATTTCATTTGCATTAAAGCAATTCCATTTCATTTTTATTAATTCCATTTTTTCTAGGTTTATACTTTATATATTCCTTGTTTTAAATATGATTCTTATAATTGTGAGCTGTGCTATAGCAGCAAGTCCAAGTCTATCATTAAAGTTAACTCTGCTTTGAGGAGGCTTCTCCTCTTCATGAACAAGCTATACATATTCATGAACATGATATACTGCTGACACATTCATGCTTGCTGAAAAGGAAGAATACTTGAAACACTAATGAAGATAAATAACTGCTGGCTTCAGTATGGATTATACACCAACATGAAGAAAGCAAAACAATCCTCACAGATGGTCTAATAATATCACGATAAATGAAGAAAAGATTAATAAAGTTGTCAGGGATTTAATTTCACTTGGATCCACAGTTAACACTAATGGAAACAGAGGTCAACAAATCAAAGGATGTATTTGCACTGGGCAAATCTGCTTTAAAAGACCTTTTTAGTGTTCAGAAG